CCCCCCTCAAAAATTGATCTATAAATCAGTTAATTAATGTATTCAGAAGTGAATGAAAAAGGCGAAGAAAGCATACATATAATTGTTCTAATTTCTTTTTAATCACAAAATAACAGAACAATATATTTTATGTATTTTTAAAATATTTTGAATTCGTGATTTTAGCAATGAAAAGATTATCTAATAGTGTAATCATTTCAAAATTCTTCTTGAACAAGAAAAGAAACTTATTTTATTTTGAACTCCAAAAACTTTGTACATTACAAAGAATGTTTGACGAAATAAATATTGTAAAATGAGTTCAAGATTACACATAAATATTATGTTAATCGGATCTATTGATATCATCTAGTATTAACCATTGATTGAGTCATTGCGCTTCCCTCTCGAGCAATATCAGTACTTGACATCTAATTGATTTGTCTTTCCTATTCTTGAGTTTTTCGTCATTTTATTAAGTTAGCAAGAATCTATATTCTCACACCTTCAAGGTGTTCGCAATACACTTTTTACTAAATAAACCATCAAAACACAAGTAGATAACTATAAGTTACACTGCTAATTTTCTATTTATTAGTGCCTATTTAGATGAATCATATTTACAAGCATTGACGGCAAAGATCTTTACTGACGATGGAACATTCACAAGTGTGAATTTACTTTACACTTGAGGCTATGTGTACATCATATAGGCCATAATAAACTATCAATTCACTGAAAATAATACATGTTCCTGGTTGATTTCTGCAAGGAGACAATATTATTTCGACATTTTTCAATACAACACTGTGATTCTGCTCAGTATCACATGGAAAACTTGCTTTTGAATTACGACTTGCAACTTGGTAGAGAGAAAATTTTCAATAAGAGCAGTTTCTTTTAAAGATTTCCAATTTCTTAGTTGTTCCTATGATAAAATATGAACATCGAACGTTTTGTATTAGAATTGATTGGCGCATCCATCAAAACAAGCATATAATTTTCGTCATTGTTATGAAATCACTTAACAAACGATATTAGTATCAATTCCGAAGCTTACTTGAACTTGTGAATTTATTTTAATGTAGTAGTAAAAAAAGAAAAAAATATTTCTAATAGCAAATCCCATCAAAATATATTATCACTTTAAATAAATTCACAATCAAGCATCTCAAAAATGTTAACCACTAAAATACATTTGTTAGAGTCATGTCAATACAGGAAAGTATGCACCAATATTTCATCGTTTGAATTTTACTTGGTCGAATTTGTATCCGATCCATCGTTGGAGAGAGTTATGTCCATGTCGATAATTTCAAAAGGACGCATTTTGGGGATCATTTCGATTTCTGACGATCTTATTCCACCTATTGAAAGTAATAATATTGTAAGTAAGATCTTCAATTATAAGTTATCATGAAGCACCAAAGACGAAGACACTGATAGACATTATGTTCTAGATTATTACGAACAGTTTAGAAGAAGAGTGCAAAACTCAATCTGGCAAATAGGTATCATTTATTAAGTATAGAAACAAACAAGTCACTAAAATTAATCATTTCAGATTCTTCCGTAGAAAAATGTTTCAATAAAATTCATTTTGGAGAGAAAATTGAGTTTCAAACTAATTCGATTGAAAGTGAGTTAGCTACTCAAAATCGATAAAAGAAGAATGAAACAACACTGATCGCAATTGAAGTTTGAAACGGGTTTATTCAACGGCAAAATAGATTCAATACCGCTGAAAAGCTAACAGTGGATGTTTTCTCTAAAAGAATTATTTTTTTTTATAAAACTCATCAATAAATAAAGCGAAAAAGCTGGAAAGTACCATGGAGTTTTCCCCTAGAAGTTTTCCCAAAATTTTTACACCCACGACTGATTGAAAAATGTAAAATTCAGGTAGTCTAAAGAGGTATCCCTGAACTATTTATAACACATGTTCAGTGTCACTAAAGCAGAATATCATAAGAATAAAATCGAAGCGTTGAAGTATTCTAAATATTTGCCGTTTACTTTATCAAAACAATCTGATAAACTTTGTATTGTATCGAAAATAGAGTAGATTGATGTGATCAGGGATGGAGCCAGTTGGAAAATATAAACTGGCCCGGTCCGACCGGTTTATAATCACATATCAGACAGGTGAAATTCTGGCTAAAAAGCGATACAAAAATGGCTCCAAATATGAAATAGCTTAGGAGCGCATATAAAAGGCACTCACCATAATGAATCTTTTTAAAGTAAACGTCAGAAGAAATAATTAAAATAGCATATGTTTTGTGCACTTTTTTACGCATTGTGACAGAAAAACATGTGATAACTTAGTTTTTATGACCAAAAACAGGGTTAACAGAGGAGATTTTTCAAAACTTTCAACCGGTAAAATTCCGGTCTCTACAGACCTGAGTGGAATGACCTAAAATACTTGAACATTGTAGCGATTAATCACTTACACGTAACTGATTCTATTTGAGGATGGGCAGTTGAGACCGGTTCCAATAGTGGAAATGATGGCTGTATTTCTTTAAGTTGAATCACCTGAAGATTAGAATCATGATTAAGACATCCGACAACTTTGAATTGAGTTCCAGGCAGAAGAAGTATTTCAGTCTCTGATGGATCATAAGAATGTTTTCGAATGTCTTTTCCTGAATTGCATTGAATGCAGAATATAATTCTTGGATCCGTTCTACCCAAAGCCTGTTCACTTTGTAAAAGCTCGATTGAGGTAGTACATGACGAGAAGCCCCACCACGTCACTGTTTTTTCTTGCTTGTAACGTTCGTTCAAATTCAACTTGACCCCTCGATAAACAGTGTAATGTGACATGGATGGAAGACGAGAGAGTGCAGTTAGAAAAAGTTTGAGAAAGAGAAGTCATGGCTTGAGACGCCGCCTATCTACTGAGCGTAGAACTGCATTCAAAGCAACATACAAACATTGATCAAGTGGTTCCCATCCCATTGAATAAAGCATGATAGCAGCTGATTCATCTGGTGTTAAACCATCAGCTTGTTCGTCACACCTCTGCTTGGCCACATAAGTATATTTTTGAATAGCTGGCAGAAGGGAGATGAGCGGTTTGACAGCTTCTTGCAAAGGAACAACTGACATATGTTCATACCCATCGATCGGTGGTAGAAGTGTCAGCGGCTCTTCAGCAATATCAGTCAATCGTAAAATATGATATTCCAATTCTTCTCCTTTTCTTCTTATGGCCATCTTGAATGTATGAATAATTTAAATAATTGCTGAGCAAATAGAAATATCTGAAAAGTGAACAAATATTCAGTATTATTCATTCTACTATCGTTTTTTAAAACTAAGACAGGTAAGCTGAAATTGTTCTCTCTTGAACAGCTCATGTCTGTGAAGTTAATCGAAATTAAGATAAATGCATGCGAGGATAGACTGTAGATATTGATAAAAACATTATTCACATTCATATCCATACACTTCTGTTTTTTGTTTTTGTAAAAAAATTTGTCTATCAGAGATGATGCCGACGATTTTCGAGTATTTCTTATTCAGAATAATTGACTGACCTTGACAATCAAAAATCAAAACAGCAAGTACAATTCGTAGGTCATGGATTGATGGAAGAAAGGATGTAGCAAATGAAATTTAAACAACAATCAAAAGTTGTTCAGCGATAAGCATTTCGACTACGTACATGCATCGTTGCAAGTGTGTATGAGATTGTACTGCTTGATTTTAATCCAATTAATCGATACTCTATTCCATCGAGCTGTTGAGAATAACCAAAATCGATGAAATAGATGTTTTTCTTATTCGAAGTTATCTGTTTCGAAGTCCAATATTAAGTATTAATCATTTTTATTCGACCATTGCAAGTGACTAGTCGTACTTTTATCAATAAACCTCTTTACATACCACTAACTACTCTTCGATTGTCAGTAAAATAAAATGCCACGTAGAAACAAAACAACAGAGTTTTATTGCTTTTTATTTGCTATTGTCTCTCACATGTACACCAGAGAGAGAATCGAAAACAAGGGAAATTTTTCAACGATAGACACTTAGAGTGAGAAGATTGAAGTGATGAAAATAAATTTGCTTGCATGCTTCAACATTTGAAAAGTAAGCTGAGAATTCAGTAGTTGAAAATATGAAGAAAAAAATTCAAGGTCTCTCAAATTATTAATTCGGTGTTTTTTGTTGCTTACGCGAAAAAGAAAAGACACAATCAATACTCTAAAACAATAAGTGACAGAAACCCATTCATCAGATAAAACATTCGATTCTTATGCTTTTCTCAGTGCCGATTTGCATGACTTAGTATCGTTCAAGAGTTCTATTTTCTCGATTTAGTAATACAGCGAATTAAAATAAGGCCAATTTAACGATTGTGACTCAATGCAACGATTTTTCAAGCAAATAAATGATGTAATCTAAGGCATCATGATGATGGAGTTTGTGCTATGATCATATCAATACTTTCGAATTGAAGAATAAATCAAATATTTTTCGATCGAATTTCTCCTAGATTTGATCTTCAAAATAGATTGAATATTATTAAACTGCCCAGATGAGTGCCAGATACAATCTTATTGTCACCCAGGTAAATCGTTTTCCAACACTATGCGGTTCAATGAAATCAAAATGTATTAAAGTAATAGGATACTTTGGTATAGAGTATGGATCATACTTCATAGTTAATATATCTGGCTGAATGAAAGTCTGTAAAGCATGCAAGTGTTTTAATAAGTTATATTTTTTAAATGCAGACTTAGCTCTAATTCGTACAGTAATTACGAGGGGCACTAATCGTATTGAATTCCGTTAATATTCATTGAGTCGTATTAGAAAATATTCATTATATTTTACTTGTAAACCAATGGAAACAGGTCATGTTGTGAACTTTACCAAGGTAATTGGCTGAGAAGATGATCATGAAACGACGAGTGATTGGTGAGAAGACTCACAAGCACAGCCCACGCTCATATACTCCCACATATTATTCAGATTTATCTCAACGACAGATCGAATTGTAATTATAAATTGAAAAAAAAATCATACTTCTTTTTTTATATTGATTTATTTGAACAACAGACTTATGGATAAGATTGATTTTTTTTTTAATTAAATTGTATCATTTTATTTTTACTTATCTCAAGAAGAGGTTTATCAGTAAGGATTCGTTTTGAAATCAAATTCTATTCATTTTTAGATTTAATCGAACAACAAATTCAACAGTAAGTATTTAATATATAAGATTAAATTATATTTTTATTATTTAGATTTATCACAATAGTAGACTCAATTGTAAGTATTGCTTTATCAAATTATGTTTATTTATTTATGAAATAAATTGTTTTTAGTACATTTATGGTTGTTGAAAAGTGAAGAGTCTAGTAATAAAGACAATATCAGTTTTCTTAATGAAAAAGTGTTTGCGAATAACTATGACGAAACGTCAAGCCATATACACGTCGTATTCGATACGACACGCGATATGGTCTTACTTCTGAAGTCAAGTATACGATCGTTTACGACAATCATAATGTTTGTCTTGAGTAGAAACGAAGTTTCTGTAATAATATTTTTAAACTTTTTTTCTGAAGAAGAACAGTATTATTGTCTAAAACGTTAGCAGTTAAAAGTTCAATGTTCCTCTCAAGTGATACTATGGTCATTGATACAAAAAATGTAAAAAAACACCATATTCAATCATGAATAGTTTTTCAGGTTAAGGTAGTATGATAGATTATAGACTGAAAAATAAAACTCTTTTAGCTCTCTTCTAAATGAAATAATTAATTAGTTAAAACTAAAAAAAGTTTTTGTAGATGTAAATTTTTGTTTTGACGACTTCGTTTGTTCATAGACACAGCATGCAGTGTTGATTTTGTGATTGATATTGATGAGTATTGCATCTAGCTATGGTATGAAATCAACCGTGAAACTTCGATATAATCTACTGCCACGATATGACATTTGAAAAGAGGATTTTTTGGATAGGGTATAGAAGAATCGAACGAAAATAATTTCGATCGGAAATTTTGCCCATAATGTAGAAATAGTTCTTTTTGTGAAATGTCATCGTTTATTTTTTTTTTATTTAATATCTCGACAAGAAAGCATTCATTTTCACTGAAGATTTCAAAGCATTCTAAAGAACATGAAGTCTACTTCAGGACAAAATTTCAAATAAAATTTTCTTTCTTTTGATTCTTCGACACGGTCGACTATTCCTTTCAAGGGATATTCAATAACTCTAGAAGAAGAAGAACAAAAACTATCCATTCAGCTTTCAAGAAATTAAGTAAAAATAAAATAGCAATTAATTAAGAAGGCAATTTTTTGCTAAGATGTCGTTAACTGCCTTTAACCAAAAGCAATTATTTGTAAAGTAACATTTAACGTAGCAAGTTAAACATATTTTAAATTCAGCAACTTTCTTGACTTTTCAGAGAATATGACTATCCCGCTTAGAATTTTCACTTATAAAGTCATATTCTCAAGCACTCTTAATTGTTCTGTGTCATTGTAAACTAATTGTAAGTTATAAAAATTGATATTTCTCGGTGTTTCTTTGCCGCATGGATTTACTTTTTTTTTATATAAAATCTCTCTTATATAATGAACTTGATGATGTACTTTTTCTCTTCTGTTCTTTTCATCATTATTGACTTTTTTTCTTTTCGATTTCTTCGGTATATCATATACACTTAGAAGGATGTCTAAATTGAATGAGAAATATTATTAATAATACTATTACTCGCTCGCTGACATCTCTATTGTTTCTTTCTTTTTCTTCTGTTGTTCATCTCTGTTTGTCTTTCCTGTATAAATTTGTGCTGTATATGAGATATTCACATATTGTAGAGGTGAAGTAGCTTTAATAAACACCATTACCAAGTAAAACAGTGAATCTATTCTTACCACTTTGTCATTACACACAGTTCTCAGAGAATTTCGTTTGGCCTTGCACATTTTTTTTTGTGATTGAAATTCATTCATGACATACGAAATGAGAACATGCATTTGAAATAGAATAGTCAAGTGTAACAACAGAGTATTTTACGCTCGAAGACAAAAATTACCTCGTTTGACGAAGGACAGTCAACAATAACGGCAGGAAAACGTTCGAGTGACTGGCACTATTTGCAACTTTGTTTCAACATAAAATGATTATTCTATTACAATAGTATATCTCTTTGACAATATTTCGCTTGGCAACGAATATTTTATTGGTATATCAGGAATGTAAATGACATGACCAGTGAAACAATATATTGCAGAGAGATTTTTTTCAACTAGTGGGACATATAAGAATGCAAAAAAAACAAGAGAAGAAGTCAGTGGACGAAATTATCGGCTGGTAGATGAAATTTTTTCATGCAACACAATTGCTGATATTCGATGCTTGTCGATTCCAAAATGGTTTTTAACGATTATTGGTCGAAATCATTGCCCATGATATCCATTGTACGGTAACTTCTCAAGTATCTTATTTCAAGTGATAGGATTACGATAGAGAGAGTTAATCTTTTTCAATTGATCTACTAGAGTTATCTACAAAAACACGATGGTTGCAATGTTGTGCAACCGAATAACTGATATCAGTTGTAACTCGTTGTTCTTGTTTTAGTAGGACCTTTGAGATATCGCCCATGTAAACATCAAATTCAAAAAAGACGTCTTCGAACGTACCACTCCCATTCATATCCTGTTTTTTGTTCGTGTCGCGTTGATTTTTTGACAAAGAAGTTTTTTTGATAGTGACATCTACCCATGACGAGGAATATATACAGATTGTAGTTGTGAATAGCTGTAAATTGATGTTCCATAGGTGCAGTACGACGACCATATTTAATCGTTACGTACACACTTGATAACAGTCGTATTGTTGCATCTAACGAATGGCGAAAAAATCTATCTAAAACGGCCGTTTACGACCATACTTATTTGATTTGGGTAAGAAAAGACATTATGAATTCAATATTAAATTTGTTTCTTCCTAATTATTTTATTTTCATTTAGTGACTTTTCGTCAATGATGATCATTTGATCAGATTATGTTTTCATATAAAACACATCAAATAAATTAATCACGTACATTTTTATATACACTTTGTTGTCTATTGACAGTAGAACGAATGAAAGAAAATCGTCAAAGAAGATGTCATCTAGTGAGTGATACTCTGGTTTCGATACAGAACTTTCATACCTATTTGTCAGACAAATAGATTTATATT